GTGTCCTTTTTCTAAAATAGTAATATTGTTAATACTATTTATCGTATTTCTTTTTCCTCTGAGTGTGAGGAACATGTAGCAGCAATCACAGGTTTTTCATCTGTCTCATTTTCTCAGGACCATTTCCTGTATCCAATCTGACTCAGACAGAAATAACTACAAATGCAGTGACCTTGGTGTGGGCACAGCAGGAGAGCAAATTAAGCTACTCTTACTGGGTGCAGGTCACCAACGAGTCCAATGTTACTGTAAACAAATTAAATGTGAACATAACAAATGCAACAATCAGAAATCTTCGTTCTGGGAGCAACTTCACCTTCACTGTCACTACACTGACAGCAGATGGCACTAAGGCAGATCCTGTGACAGTGTCTTACTTCACACGTATGTACAGTATATGTTGTCAGAATCTCTGCTTCTCCTGGAAATCCACGATACTAAACTCAAACTAAATCAGTAAAAACAACCAAAGTCAGCAACCATCAAAAGCTGAGCTTGGGTAGTTTATCATTATTCCAGTGAAAGAGAGCTGTTATAAGAAAAGTGCTGTTCATGTGCCTATAATACTGCTGTTGTTATTATAATAATAATTCCTCCTGTGTTTGTAGGGCCATACGGTATTACTGAGTTGAAGGCTGAAACCATAAACACAACTGCTATAAATCTGAACTGGACGAAGCCAGCTGAGTACAGGGATGACTATAAATATCGAGTTGCTACATCAGGCTGTGCCTACAAAAACAACACCCTGGAACAAGAAACCATACAGATCTCAGGCCTCGACCCTGGGACCAACTGTACCTTCTGTGTTTCTGTCATGGCAGCAAACGGCATTGAAGGACAAACAGTCTGCACTTCTCAGTACACAAGTACGACTCAGCTGCCCTTTCTAGTTTTCAGTGTCAGACTATCATTGTTGACATGTTTTAATCCTTTGTTCTCTCATCACATCAACAGAGCCCGAGACAGTAAAGCCCACTATCTCAGGTCATTCGAATAGTTCCATCACAGTGACATGGATGAAACCTAAAGGAAACGTGGAGCGTTACAGTCTTTACCTAACACCTAATACAGCTATTCAATCCCTGAACTCTTTGAATACATCCTATCAGTTTGAAAACCTGTCAGCTGGACGGGCGTACAGCGTCATGTTAACCACAATAAGTGGACCCTTCAATGCGTCATCTGAACTTGTTACTAACGCCACTCGTGAGTAATAAGTGTCTTCAATTTTGAGTGTAGTCACATTTATGTTGATATGTATGTATGTTTTTATTTACTTCAGCAGGTTTTGAGAATTTAGCTGTTACTGATAAAGTTCAATTTGACACTGTGGGTGATCGTGGCTCAAGAGTTGGGAGTTCGCCTTGTAATCGGAAGGTTGCCGGTTCGAGCCCCGGCTTGGACAGTCTCGGTCGTTGTGTCCTTGGGCAAGACACTTCACCCGTTGCCTACTGGTGGTGGTCAGAGGGCCCGGTGGCGCCAGTGTCCGGCAGCCTCGCCTCTGTCAGTGCGCCCCAGGGTGGCTACAATGTAGCTTGCCATCACCAGTGTGTGAATGTGTGTGTGAATGGGTGAATGACTGGATATGTAAAGCGCTTTGGGGTCCTTAGGGACTAGTAAAGCGCTATATAAATACAGGCCATTTACCATTTACTACACTAAACAACTGTAAAACAAAATTAATTAAAACAGTGAGCACTTACATAAGGTAACATGTTGCATCCCCCTTCCTCCAGTCCCTAACCCTCCTGGGCAGATTGAGATCCTGAATAAAACAACGAGCTCCATTGAAACTCAATGGATAGAGGCGCCTCTGATGACCGGTGCTAATTTCTACTACCTGCTGATTTACACGTCATCCCAGCAATCCAACAATATAAATACCACAAACACCAGAATGAACATCTCTTCCCTGTCTTCTGGGACTTCCTACAACATTTCTGTGAAAACTGTGGGAGAATTGGAATTCCAGAGTGAGACGATTTATGTCTACATGGTCACAACAAGTAAGGCTTTCATTTCTGTAAAGAAGTATTGGAGAAGTTTGGGCAGTCTCCTCTTTCATTATTACTGTATGAATTAACTTTAATATCTCTCTAATGTCTGACAGGACCACTGGCAGTGCAGGAGCTCACGGTCACTCCAGGAGAGACACACATCACAGTCAACTGGACCAATCCACCTGACTACAAGAACAGCTATAAATACTTTTTGTCCTGGAATCAAACTAATTCCCAAATGCAGAACTGCACAGTTACACAAACTATGTATAATATCACTAACCTGGAACCTGGTCAGTGCTACAGTATTTATGTCACCACAGAGACCTCTGATGAAACACGGGGTGCACCAGTAATGATCACCAAATGCACAAGTATGGACACTAAGTAATAATTCTGCAAAATTTTGTCACCTATCTTTTACATGTGAAAAATGTAATTTTGATGATTCCACTGTCACCAAAAGATAACTGAACAATCTGTTTTTGACAAATAAAACTTTGTCAAAAACAGATTTTGTATTTTCTTTAGATATTTGATAGAAATATTATACTTTAATAGAACTGACAGATTTGTTCATTAGAGGTGTTCTGTTTTTTTCCCTTATTTCTGTTTCATGCTACAGATGCAAGCCCAGTGAAAATCTTAGGCTGTCAAGGTCCAAACGACAATACTGCACAAATCATCTTGTCATGTACCACACCCCATGGCCAACACACTGGCTTCCAGATGATTGTAAATGGAAACAACATCAGTGCAACGGCATCTTGCAATTATACCATTTCTGGCCTTAACCACAATACTATATATAATGTGACTGTGATAACTCTAAGCCATGGAAATCCCAGCATCCCTGTGTATCGCGAGTGCTCAACAGGCATACGTAAGGCTTTGTGTAATAATATTAGTGTTCTAATGTACTTAAAAACTAGAGTTAGAGATACATAGAGAAGCCTTTTATAGAAAATACCAGTTCCTAATAAAATCCTTTTTCCTTATTGGTGCTCAAAAACATCTATGCATTCATTTGTCTGTGACTGCTTTTATTGGTTGAGCTGTAGTTGATAGTACACTTTTATTTATTTTTTTATCAAAGAGCTGCCCATGCCAGTAAATTCTGCTAGCTTGGCGCAATCGAATGGTGTCACACACAATAGTTTCATACTACAGATTGATCCAAGGATGTTTAACGACTCTAATTTTACGAATGCCTAATGAAATCTTTCTTCATTTCTCTGTTACATTTTTTCCAAACATTGTAGCTATCACTACTATTGCTGTTGGTGTATCAGTAGCAGTTTTTCTCATTCTCTTCAGTGTCCTCATCGCCTTTATTATCTACTGGAAAAGGTTTGCCACTATCACCAGTGATAAAAACATGTTCATTAAATATCCGTGTATATGAATAAATTCTATATTTACAGTTTATATACTTTATCTACTCCTGTAGGCTAGCCAAAAAAGAATCACCAGACATCCAGATTGAATCTTTAAGGTAAAATTTGTATTTTTATCATTTTGTTGTACTGTATGTATGATATACTCCTCTAATTGCTACTTATTGTTCTTTTTTGCATTTTTTATAGAGCCAAAGTGTAAGTACAACATTTTTTAACTCTCAAAGCTTCAGCATATCTTCCAAATATTAATTCTTTCCTGAAAGCACCTTATCACTCTTGCCTAAACTTTGGTTTGAGCAGAAGTGTGGCCGTGAGTGTGGAGGACTTTGAGGCTTATTACAAGAAGCAGAGAGCAGACTCCAACTGTGGCTTTGCAGAAGAATTTGAGGTAAATCCCCAAAACTGAATATATTAACTGACTCTTGATTTGTAAATATACTTATTCATAGTAGAACATTTTTATTTTTATTTCTTATTTTAACAATTTGTGTTCTAGACACACTCACCAGTGTCAATGTCAGTATAACAGCAATAAATCATTCCTGGTACAGCTTTACAGTATTACTTACAGTGCTCCAAAAGCTTTTTGCTGCCTGAAAAGAGACATCTTGGAGAGGTGCAACTGAAACAGAATCAAATGTAATTACTGTTACCAGAATGAGCCAAAATAATACTGAAATGTAATGCAAAGGGCAAAAAAAAAGAAAAACTACCCGGAAAAAGTTTCATTTGCTTCTCTGGTACTCCACATGTAGCCACCAACTTTTTTTCTCTGTATTTTAAAGGACCTGAAGGTTGTTGGCACAGCTCAGTCAAAGTTACATGCACTGAATGTGGAGAACAAGCCTAAGAATCGCTACAACAATGTGCTTCCATGTGAGTCACTTTAACAAATCCATCTCTGCTGCTTTGACCATAACACCCTCACTCTTTAAACAGTATCATTGCCTGCCTTACAGCATCTGCTACCATTTTAGTTTGTGCCTTGAACCAAACAATAGCATGCATCTATTAATGCATAACAGTGTAGGAAAATAATTTCTAATACTTTTTTTTTAACAATAATAATTTTTAATTCCTTTCATGCTCATTACATTTCCCTTTAATTTCATCTCTTACATTTCATTTACCCTCTTGTTCACCTCCTAGATGACTCTTCTAGGGTGAAACTTTCCATTCTCCATGGAAGTCCGTCTGATGATTACATCAATGCTAACTACATGCCGGTGCGTACTGACACTTTTTGAGGCAGCTCTCTGCCACAGTCATTGCAGCATCAGCAAGCATCCTACTGAGCAATATAACTTTGCTTCTTGACATTGCCATTTGTTAAACGTTTCTGCCTTCATGTAAACTCTGCTTTGAAAAACGTCTCAGAAAAATCCAACTTGCTGTTTCATGTGGTTGAGCTCACATTTTATTTGGCAGGGTTACAACTCGAGGAAGGAGTTTATTGCAGCTCAAGGTCCTTTACCCACCACGGTCAACGATTTCTGGAGGATGATCTGGGAGAAGAATGTGCAGACTCTGGTCATGCTGACACGCTGTAATGAACAGGGACGAGTGAGTATTAACAAAAACACCACAACTAGCAGGACAAGCATGTTTACAGTAGGGATAGACTGATCCGATATTACGTGTCTGAATCGGTCCAATACTGACCTAAATTACTGTATCGAATATTGGAGAGAAATAAAAAATGTGATCCGATCCCTTAAATCTCACAAAACTTGCGACGTGGCATAACTCAGCTCATAACCGTAGCACGTTGGAGCACGTGATAGAGCGGCTGTGGCGTGCAAGACATGTTGGTGATCTGGTTGAGCATTTGGAGCCTCGCTACCAACCCGGCATTTCATCTCCGTGGAAGTTATCCCAGAGAGAAGTAAAGCAAGTGTTTAAGTTCATCTCTGAATGTTAGTAAATGTTAAAGCATTCCCATGTTAAGCTTATCAACCGATATACATATATGGAGCGACTGCCTCTTTCTCCCCCTTCCTCTCCTGCTGCTACTTCAATCATCTGATCTTGGTGGATGTAAGCTGTAATTTAATGGCAGGTTTACATAACCCCACTCTATACACCTGTATGATATCAGTGTGACCACAGTAATCCCACCCACTTGCTGCCCAAACTTTTTGTTTGCAATGGACAGTTAATCAGAAGAAAGTTGTCATAAAGGGAACGTGACCACGAAGGGACACCGTTTAAGACATGGGTAGTATCAACACCAGGTGTCAGATAAACGAGGGTTATTTTGATCATTCAGAATGAGTCTAATAGAGGCCAAGAATGAAACAATACAGCTGAGGAAAAAGTTAGAATCCCTGTGATCTATTCATATGTTTCCATCTATACCAGGGGTCGGCAACCTTTTTGATGATGAGTGCCGTCTAAAATGTCCTCAGAAGTCAATGTGCCATATGATTGCATTGGCAATAAATTTAATAACGCTCTATACAGTCATGTGATGTTCCCCTGTAGCTCTAGTAGGGCTGTGCGATATGACCAAAATCTCATATCCCGATATAATACATCTATCGTCCCGACTACGATATAAATCACAAAATTTTAACATTTTCTGTAAATTCTGTGAATCTCGGGCGACTTGTGTGAAGTGTTTACAGCTGGACGCCGTGTACCTGGAGTCGAGTGTTTTAACAGATGCATAAAACGACACATTTTTAGTCATAAGTTGTAATGGCTGCTGTTTTCTTTGTGAGTATTTATTACACGGCGTGCTGCGGTGAAAAGCCTGTTTTAAGGTTTATTTTTTAGCTTCTGACAGCTCTTTTTAGCTTCTCATCCGTAAACACTCTGCAAACTATTGCATGTGATTCAGTTTATTTTGAAAAGTCTCAACAGGATCTTGAGCTTTCTTGTGAAAGGTTTGTATGGGAAATAAACAAGCTGACACGCGATGGTTTTACCGTCGTTGTAAAAACATGCTCTTTTCCGTCTGTAGTGTGGTTATATTAAATATAAGAGAAAGAGAGAACTTTAAGAAATTAATATAGCCACTGCAGTGACACAAAACGTTGAAAAAATATTGCCTTAAACTTTTTATTTTGCGACACCACGAAATAAATGATAGCGTAAAATGAAACGATATATGTTTTTACAGTGTTTTTTTTTTATGTAAATGTTATTTTTACAATGTTTGCAGGGTTTTTTTTAAAGCTAAAACATTTCCTTTCCAGGTAAAATGTGAGCAGTATTGGAGTTCTGGTACCAAGCGGTGTGACAACATCATTGTAAAAGCAACCTCTGAAATAACACTTGAGGACTGGACCCTCAGGGACTTTGACATTAAAAATGTGAGTGGTTTTCACATTGGTTTCAATATTGTTTTGTCTATATAGTGTCAGTGCTAAAGATAAATATACTACAATAATAGAAGAAAGCCCAACAATTACACGACCCCCTATCACCAAGCATTTGGTAACAATGGGAAGGAAGCATACTTCATACAGCATATATCCATATTTGTAAATTATTTTTGTAATAAATATTTATAATTTTTCAGAAGTATTTTTAGGAAAGGGAGAAACCTTTAGATTGGAAAACCCTATGGTCCCTGAATATTTAACATGATTTACAGTAGGCGTCCTGCAACCAAAATAGACTACCTATTAAACTTTCCAATGTCTTAACAAATCTATGGTAATAACAAGGTCAGTAACTAATACTTTGTATCTTTGATTGTTGTAAAAAGGCACTTTTGCTTTTGCTTTAAAACATAAATCCTTGCAACACATTTTTGTCATGTTGTCCAGTTACCGTTTGAGGTATGTGGTAGTGATGTATCAGTCGAGTATGAATCAGGTCTTAGAGCCGGCTCTTTGAAGTGAACGATGGGAGCCGGCTCCTTATTGCGAGCCGTGTTATTTATTTATTCATTTTTTTCCTTTCTCTTACCCTCCCTCTCTCTTACCGAGCCCTGCGAGGGACATGGGAGAAAAAAAAATTAAGATGAACTCGCAAAACTTCAAACTGGTGCAAGAACGTGTCCGAAAACATCGGCGCACTTCTGCCAATATGTGATGTCTTGATAAACCGAGCAGATATTAGAAGTTTACACAACTACGTTCTTGCCTTATCTTAAGTTTAAGATATCACCAGAAAGTGATATTAAAACTAAGTAGCTATCGCCATAGTTGGAAACTGGAATTGGCCCAGCCTATCCCATAATTCATAGCGCGGCCCAGCCAATTCTAGTTTCCAGCAATGGTGTTGTGTTGTGGTTTGAAGTGTTTTGTGTTTTTTCACTTTAAATTTGTTGAAACAGAAAAAGCTGAAAATTTAAATAGTTAAAAGTTGAATTGTAAATGTTTTTTGTAATATGTTTTATATGTTTATATGTTTTCAATTTTTTTTTTACATTTTATGTGAAGTGAATAAATAAAAGCATATTTATATAATAAACATGTATAAATAAAAAAAACCCACTATTTTTTACATTAGTAATTCATTTTGTGCATAACTTTATATTGTTATTGACAATAAATTAATTAAAGCAACAAAACAACCTAAAGAGCCGCTTGGGAGCCAAAAGAGCCGGCTGTTTGTAGTGGGCCGAGCTGAAAGAGCCAGTTCTCTAAAAAGAGCTGGAATTCTCATCACTAGTATGTGTTATTGTGTCTTGAGGATCTTCAGCTGTTTTGAGGTGCTTCGCTGTTTTGTCCTTCAGGTGAAAACAGCAGAAACCCGAGCAGTTCGTCACTTCCACTTCACAGCATGGCCAGATCACGGGGTACCAGAAACCACAGAGCTCCTCATCAGCTTCAGACATTTAGTCAGAGAGCACATGAACCAGTACTCAAAACACTCGCCCACAGTGGTCCACTGCAGGTTTGACAGAGCACACATGCAAATACACTCACAACTTTGTATTTATCCAGTGTGACCTGTTTTCAAAAATATATATATATATATTTATATATCTGTGTTTCTATGTTCTTTATGATTAGTGCTGGTGTGGGGCGCACAGGTACCTTTATAGCCATAGACAGACTGATTTTCCAGATTGAAAGAGAAAATACAGTGGATGTGTTCGGCATTGTTCATGATCTGCGCATGCACCGACCGCTTATGGTGCAGACAGAGGTAGGGATGTTCACATTCACTGTAGTGTGTTGTTTGACGTGATGAGTGATATGCCATATCTCAATGAACTTTTGCATTTGACATATGTGCAGGACCAGTATGTGTTCTTAAACCAGTGTGCTTTGGACATCATCCGGTCGAGAACGGGGACCAATGTGGATCTAATCTACCAAAACACCGCGGCAATCTATGAAAATATAGGCCCAAAAAAGGGGGCTCCCAAAAACGGATACCACAACTCATAGGCCCAGAAGTCCATCAGTTCTTCCATCTCTCTTCACTTTTAGAAAGAAACTGAGCAAATATCTGTGAAGGAGAGGCTGTGAGCACATTTTCCTGGATTTATTTTTATACCTTTTAGGCTTTTGATAACAGTCATCTAGCTTCCTGGATTCAAACTCAGATTATTTGATATTTATTTGTTACGATTTATGAATGTTGACAGTGGACGAAACTGTACGTAGAGCTGCAATAATGGATTATGTGTCTTGGACACTTTGCTATAATTGTATATTTTTGTATTGCTCAGATGTTTTATAAATGCTTCTTAATACTGTATATGACTCACTGATAATTAGATCTTTTTGCTCAGGTAGTGTGATGGATGCTGTACAGGTATTTTTGATCAGGAAAAACTTATAATAACCTTTGCCTTGTATAAAACAAATGCTGTTATGAAGACAGTGTGCCTTTTAAAGAGTTTTTTCCACCAGTTCACCAATAGGTGGCACTCTTGTGTCTTCAAATGGAAAAGACAGACATCTGAAATTCAGCTGTCTGTTTGTGCATATTATAAGCCAACATGAACTCTGCAATGTGTTTAAATGAAGGAGCCTTTTGCACATGTATGCACTGTATTGTGAATAATGCACTGGATGCATTTGTCTTCTACACTGTCTACTATGGAGATGTTTTTTTCAGTAGCATTAATATTTTGGCCAGTGCTTTGTAGACTGTTTGGATTATTTCTTTATACATACAATACTTTTATTACAATTTTATTTTTGCAATTTTACTTGCCTCAATAAAAAGCTCAGGAACTCAATTAAACTAAACATGTTCCTAGCATCTATGGTGTTTGTACTTTGACGAACTTAGTCCATTTTTTTCCTTATTTTCTACGTTGTGCATTCCTCACAGAAACTGTAATGTTATGTCACTTCCTGCTACATATCCGATCCTTGTATGGAAATACTGTGATGTTAAAATGGCCAGAGAAGTGCAGGCTTAAAGGGCAGGATTTTCCATGAGGCAGAAACTTTACTTTTTTAAAGATAATTCAATAAAAGAGTACGCCTGTAGATATTTTTTAAAACGTATTTTTATTTTATCATAGTGTATTTAAAGCTATTTTAAGCATTTGGGTTTTAAATGAAAAATATGTATAATAATTACTAAGGTTTTAGGATATTTTTTAATTATGCTTGATGGTACAATGTGAAAATATATATAGAAAAAGGCAAGGATTCAAATTTTGTATACATTTTAACCTGTCATATGAAATGGGATTATATATATTATAAATTCTGGAAAATAGGGGCGTAATACTCCTCTTATTGTTTAAATCCCTCAGCTTCAATATGATTAAAGATTCATATGCTTGCTTTAATGTTACCTCTGGACAATTGTGAGTTTGGATCTATTTACAAAGCTCATCACTCAGAAAATAAACAAACTGCACACTGTGTCACAGCTACTGCAGCATGTCTGATAAACTCATTATGTATATAGTTTCCAAATTGTTTGAGTCAAATGGAAGGATCAAAAGGACCAACACAATACATGACTGCATGCTACAGAGCAGGATTGAGGTGTTACACCTTTGAATTATTCAATTTGAGGTTGCAGGTAGATAAGTGCACCCTCACCGGATGAATAAATAATACCATGTCTGTTTCTTACTTTGTAAGGAAAAAGCTTTTCACAAGGAGACTTTGACAGTTTTACAGCTCAGCACATCAGGCCTTCTGTTGCAAGACTTTGTACAGTATTGAGGTGGTTTAAAAGACCACTTTTTGTACACAGCATTGTTTTTTTTCAAATGTAAGATTTTTTCAGCATGTCAGCTTAAATAGGCCTGCAGTTTCTCAGGCTTCTACTTTTTTCTCCCCCACTTCCCGACATAATTTCTGTCTCATGCCTCTCAGGTCCATAAGTTCGATTTTTAAAAAAGTAGATCTGGCATTTGAATGCCCCATTTTGAACATAAATCCTGACCTGCAATTGGAAAATTAAAATAGAACAAAAGATAACTGGGTGATCCAAATTTAATAATGACCTCAAATGCTTATATGCCACAAATCCACCATAATGGATTACACTAGGATGTTTTTTCTAACCTTCTCTGAAATTGAATATAAAACAACAGCAAAGAGAAAATGAAATATTTGTCATCTGATCTAGGCAAAGGTACTAGACCACTCTTTTTCACTACAGTTTAAATATGGCCATTTCTATGTAAAGACCAGGGATTAGAGTTAGGTCCATATATATATTTGGACATAAGTTCTGCTTTTTGCCTGTTTACTAAGACATTTTCCGAATATAGTTAATGGACATAATGTGCAGACTCCCAGCTTTCATTTGAGGGTATCCACATTGATATTGGATGAAGGGTTTAGGAGTTAATTTGAGGTGTGGTGCTTGCATTTTGGAAGATTTTGCTGTGAACAGACAACATGCAGTTAAAGGAGCTCTCCGTGCAGTTGAAACAAGCCATCCTTAAAATGCAAAAAAAGAAAAGAAAAACATCCAAGAAATATTATGAGTGGAAAAATGTAGAGTTTGGTACATTCTGAGAAAGAAAGGAAGCACTGGTGAACCAAGCAACACGAAAAGACCTGGATGTCTATGTCTATCATCCACCATCATCTATGGTGGATGATGGCAAAATCATTTCCTTGGTCAAGAGAAATCCCTTCACAACCAAGTGGCCAATCAATATCCAAGTCTAACATAAAGAGAAGACTGCAAGAAAGTAAATCCAGAGTTCCACTGCAATTGCAAGCCACACATAAGTCTCAAGAATAGAAAGGCTAGGTTGGACTAGGCTAGATTTGCAGAGGCAGTGCAAGGGCTTGGGTGTGCACGGCTGCCAGTGGCACTGGGACGCTAGTGTTCATTGATGATGTGACACAGGACAGAAGCAGTTGAATGAATTCTGAGGTGTTCAGAGACATGCTGTCTGTTCAAATCCAGTTAAATGCAATCAGATTGATTCGGTGATGTTTCATAATGCAGATGGACAATGACCCAAAACATACAGCAACCCAGGAGTTTGCTAAAGCAAAGAGAATCAGAATCAGAATGGGGTTTATTGCCAGATGTTGAGGTTTACAACATTAGGAAATTGCTGCGGTGCTTCAGTGCAAACAATAAGAATTAAAGTGCTATGTAGAAAGAAAGATATGTGCATGAGATATACATGAGATATATACATGAGAATAAGACTTATGAGTGCTACGTAGAAAGATATATACATGAGTGCAGGTGGTGATCGGTGCCAAACACAGTGACACAGCGTAGGGTCATGTGTTAGTGGCGGGGACAGTCATGTGATTATTGTTCATGTGTCCAACAGCAGAGGGGAAGAAACTGTTCTTATGGCGAGAGGTTCTGGTGCGAATGGACCGGAGCCTCCTGCCTGAGGGGAGCAGGTCAAACAGACTGTGTCCAGGGTGAGAAGGGTCAGCTGAGATCCGAGCTGCACGCCGCAGTGTCCTGGAGGTGTACAGGTCCTGCAGAGATGGGAGTTTGCAGCCAATCACCTTCTCAGCAGAGTGCACAACACGCTGCAGTCTCTGTTTGTCCCTGATAGTGGCTCCAGCGTACCACACGGTGATGGAGGAGGTGAGGATGGACTCGATGATTGCAGTGTAGAATTGTATCATCGTCCGTGTTGGCAGGTTGAATTTCTTCAGCTGCCTCAGGAAGTACATCCTCTGCTGGGCTTTCTTGATGACGGAGGTGATGGTGGAATATTCATGAATGGCCAAGTCAGTCATCTGATCTTAACCCAATTGAGCATGCATTTCACTTGTTGAAGACTAAACGTCAGACAGAAAGGCCCACAAACAAAAACCAGCTGAAAGCTGCAGCAGTAAAGGCCTGGCAGAGCATTAAAAAGAAGGAAACCCAGCATCTGGTGATTTCCATGAGTTCAAGACTTCAGGCTGTCAATACCAGCAAAGGGCTTTCGAGTATTAGAAATGAAATTTTTATTCTTAGTCTTTTAATTTCTCGATTTCACTTTTGAAACCCTAAAACTAAGGGATTGCGTTAAAAAAAATTCCTCACACTTTTATGCAATGTTTTTATTCAACCCAAAAAATTAAAGTTGAAAGTCTGCACTTAAGGTGCATTTGAGTTGTTTCATTTGAATTTCATTCTGGGAAATCTGTCCAAATATATATGGACCTAACTGTATGTGCAAATATGAATTATACATTTATAATAAAAAAATTGTGTGAAAATGTTTGCTCTTATAATTTTTCTGCCAAGCTATATGAACACTTCACTGAGTCTGAGAGTCTTTATCTTTACTATCTAAATTTATCTAATATGAATATTTAATGCTAAAATTCTCTCTGCAACATCTTGATGAACTGAGACTCTAGATTTGAGATCGAACCAGATTAGCATGTATAGATCTTATACTTTATTTTTTCTAATTTAGATTTTTATTTATAAAAAATATGCCCAATATGTGATCTGGATGAACTTCAAATGCCCACCTCTGGGACATGAAATTAGCTACACATCAACCCCGCAAAAGTAAAAGTCTTCATCTGTCATTTTACTACAACAAAATGACATACACTGGCAGGGAACAGTGTGCTGCCTAAAGAGTATCTGATATTGCATGTAAACTTATTTTATGATTGTACATTTTTATTTTCTACATGGAGTATGTTTACATTATGTAATACACTTCATTAAAAACATAATGTATATGTCAGTAGGAAATTCTCACTTATGAAGTTTTGTTTGTCCGTTTTGACTGGTCGCAGTTTGTGTACAAGCGTTTTCGACAATAGTAAATGTAAGCAGACGTGAAACTGAATCTGAAGCGGAAATGTGTGCCGGTGTTTATCTTATAGGTCACATGCAGCTGGTGTTGTACGCTGCTACGGCCACAGGTGGCGCCATAGCTCCCTGTGTGTGACGGGCAGCAGATGATCCAGTCCACTCCGCACTCTCCATGTTGAGAGGAACCGAGCAACTTGTTCTCCAACCGTCCGTCACAGCCCACCTACTGCCCCCCTAAACCACCCAGCTGTCTACATACAGCACCGTGCTATGACGCTGGACTGGAAAAGAAGCTTAGGAGCAAGTGCATGATCGTTTCCCTGATCGACAAAGAGTGAGTTTCTGTTACTACAGCACACCGCTAAGCGCAACTTGCTATTTTTAGTCAACGTTACTTGTATCTATACAACTAACCCATGTTTTATGAGCTAACTGCTAGTTAGCTCTGATAGCGCTGAATAACAAAATGAGGGAAAAAATTGCGCGTTTCGTGGCATCCACGCTGTAATTTTAGTCTTCTCATCGTCGCAGCATATGAAGGAATTCGTTCAGTGGTTATAGTAACGTCATTCTGAGTGTTTGGTTTGCCGTCTCGTTGGGTAGCAGCTAACCTTACTAGCTTGTTGCCTCAAGTAAACCCCTCATCGCCACGTTAGCGGAGCAGCCCGTGCCCCATGCGGCTGCAGCTTTGCTGTCACTCGTTTGCATAGCAACCACGATCCCCGCCGATGCCCAGGATGGCTGCAACAAGCGAGTGCACGTACCTGTATGTGCTGCTTTTATGTTAAATCAGTTACAGTGTTGCGTTCACTTGCTTTTGTTACAAACTGTAAATAAATGAAAAATGCATGTTATTGTGCTGTTAAGCACATGTGGCAGAGGATCATAGGAGTATTAACTGTAGTCATTAATCAAGCAGTCTGTAAAGTCTCTGTATCATCTATGTCCCACGTGGGATGCGACGTTTTGCTTTGACTTTACTGCAGAGTGCATATAATTCAAAGCAGAGCGACGAGGCTGGCAGACATTTAAATGTCAAATATGTGCAGGACAGTCCAAGACCTCGCCAGCGTTGGCCGGCTGCACTGTTGCAAGTGTGATACCAAACGTGTAACCTTTTTCATGGGTTCACCAGGAACACATTGTAAAAGCCAGGTAGGGTTTTCTGCGAAGAACGCTTTGAAACTCACCTTAAATATTTTTTTAATCTAACGACACACGCCTAATAGGACCTTATTAATTTGACAAGAAATTAAATGCTGTGATTGCCAAA